ACACACACACACACACACACACACACACACACACACACACACACACAAGCTCAAGGTTGTTAAAAAAGATCTTTAACATAAAAAAACAACATTTTAAAAAATTCACAATATTACATACCAAAACATGAAATACATAATCCAACATTTGTCAGCACTTTAATCTTGCACTTGTTGCTCAAGATCTAATTTCAAAACTGCGGATGATAAAAAGCTGTTTCTCAAACCCCACTCTGTAAAACGGTTACGTAAGACTTTCTTTTGGCAGAAAACATGTATTCCTAATTAGCCTCAAGAGCATTAGAAAGATCAGAGGTTTATTCTGAACCAATGAGTTCATGGACGCCTTGACAAGTCCCCTTCAGGGGCTTTGCTGAGTTTTAGGGCTTTTAAAAGGCACATTCAAAATAAAACAATTTTGTTTACACCCATAAAACTGACACATTCAATAACTAATGCAAAAGAGCCTATCCCTACAATCTAAGTTGATGCAAATATGAGGTTACTGGTTTTTATTATTGCCACTATCAGTGAATTCCAAAGACGAATAAATATTTAAAGACCGTTGCTGACATTAAGGTGGCACAGTGCTGGAGATGTTGGCATCTGCGCAGTAGAACATCTCTACACCATGTGAGCAGTCTTGAGGGTAGATTATAGTCATGGTCAGACCAGTGATCATAACAAACAAGCCAGTTATTATCAACAAGAAGGGAACCACGTTTTCACCTTGGAACAAACGGCCGGGGGACAGCTTGAGGAAGCACGCAGATGGGATGATGAAGATGAGAGGGGTGGCACTCAAAACCCCCTGAATACATAAAAAAAAAAAATAATAATAAATGTCTGTGGTTTAAAGCTACTGATCTTATACAAGTAGGTGAGGACTGGTTGACTTACGTTCAGTTCCAAAACCACTCCCAGGCAGTCATAAGCCAAAGATATGGCGGTGCAGACTGCAACTATGAGCGTGGTTAGAGCGACATGTTCAACTTTTGAAAGATCACGACTGCATATGACGTTGGATAACACCTGGGGACACAAACAAAATAAATCTATTAAGGTTGAGGCATTTTTTGCAACTCGACGTTGAAAGAGGATAACTTGCACCAACTGTCTGTTTTGGCGTTTCTCACTGAACCTTTTTCTCATTAAACATCGATCTGAAGCTCCGCCAAAACCATCAGATTGCCCCTTTCACTAACATTTGTTCACCTTCAGCCGTTACATTTGAAGCTTAGCCTGTTCACACAGATCATTTACCTCTCTCGTAACAAAACACTCGAGTGGAAACGTGGTTATTATGCTAAGGCCAAAGCAGAAGCGACCGAATGTTGCCAGGTTGTCGTCTCTGCAGTAGTTCTCAAATATGTCTCCTGAAAAGTCAAACGGATGAAAGAAGAAATCTATATTTAAAACACAGGAATATTTGAGCGGAATATGCCGTGCATGCTGTTAGTTCTTTAGCGATACCTTGCGTGTAGCCCGTGAACGTTGTGTATCCTGCAACAGCAAAGGCAGCACTGATGATCAGCGCCGAGCCCACAGAGATGTGGGTGACCTGAGACCAGTTGGATAAAGTGGGCCGCTCCAGAGAGTTATAGATCAGAAAGCTGTTGTGGTGGCAAATAAAGGCTAAAGGAAGACATTAGGATAGTATCAAAATATGAATAATAAATCTTTTAAGGTGCATCGCCACCATCCGTATCAGAATCAAGAAAAACTCACCAAAAGACATCACACCGACCGCCTGGATGGCGTTCCACTTGGCAAATACCCACGCATTCTCTGTAGGGACGCTAGACAAGACATCCAGTCATGAAGAAGACCAGAAACGCACGCGCTGCATGTGCATGTGATTGTTTAAGTGCATGAAACTAATTCTGCTCCACACAAAATTTACATTTGGGTTCCAAGAGTTGCTGCTCTGATGACGGCGATGACGAGGATGAAGAGCGTCAGCACCATCGACAGGAAGGACACCTGGTGAGATGGGGTTATTTCACAAAAACCTGATCATAACAATTTAAAAAAAAATCATACATAAGAGCTTTACGATTTTCAGTCTTACCTTCCCGAGTCTCTCTATGTTTCGATAAAGTGAGAGCGGCAGCGTGAAGAGAAGGGTGGACAGTAAGATGACGAAGTGACGCTCTGCAAGAATGTGGTCCGGTCCGACTGCAGACACGTTTTCAGCTTGATGAGTGAATATGGGTTCATTCTTCACATTTGTTTATTTGAGATAGAAGAGAGCGGGCCTACCTCCTGGTATTCTCTGAAACACTTTGGTCAGTGTGTCACCGGTTGTGATGTTGTAGCTGATCATGGCTGAAGGAAAGGAATGAGCCGAGTCAGCATATTTTATATCAAACACCGCTCTAACAGACCGAAAAAAAAAAAAAAATATATATATATATATATATATATATATATATATATATATATATATATATATATTCATATATATATTCTGGAATCACCCCATAACTTAGACACATTTGTAACAACTTACCAATGAAAGGATAAAGGAACTGTAGAGCTGATAAAATCAAAAATCCTGGGAAACCAAACGTATTTCGGACTAACATCTGATAACTGTTGGACCCTGACAGGTTTCCTCCTTTTATTAGTAGAACGATTGAGTAGTCTGAAACACAAACAGCAATGTCAAGAATTTAAACTCTCATCATTGTTCAAACAAAATATATCTTGGTTATACCTACCTGTGATGACTGCAACAAGAATCAAAAGGAGAAGGCCGATCGGCAGCCCTGCCTGGTTCATTGCGTACGGTAAACCTGGTTTTAAGAAAAAAAAAATTGCTGCAGATTAAACAATAATATTCTGTTTTATACCACAGAGACATGTGAAACGACCCAGATCCTGTTCCCAGTTTGTAAACAAAATAGTTAACAAAGTTATCATTTGTGTGCATGTCCTGCGGGTTTCTTAAAAAAAAAAAAAAAAAAAAGTTGTAGGAACTTTAGATCAGAAAAGATAAATCAGAGGATTTATTTTGTTTACACCAAAGAAAGAACACACACTAAAGCGAAGTTGTGAAAAATAAAGCGTTCTTGTCAGACAAAAAATTTTGAAGTTGCGTGTATAAAACATTACCAGATCAAATTAGATAATAAATAAAGCAGACAGCCACGGGCGCTGCTCATATGATGTTGCTGCAGCGCTAAAGTAAAAGTTTCTTCTTGTTATTAAAAAAAAAAATTGCAACCCATGCCTATTTTGCTATCTCACAACAACAAAAAAAATTTAACTAATTAGTAATTAATCTCCGGCTAAATGACTGCTCTGATTGCTTTAAAATTAATATTTACCAATTATTCCAGATCCTATAATAGAGTTGATAAAATTAAAAGATGCAGATATCATCGAACCCTTCGACTCTCTGGCATCTTTATGTGGGGAAACTAAAGTTGTCCCTTCTTCACTGATTTGCTGAAAGAAAGTAAAAACAAACAAAAACATTAGAATTAACAAACTTTGTTAAAAAGTTTAAAATGTCATTAATGTCAAATCTACCTGCTGAGCCATTTTGGACCTCCAGCTGCTCTGGTTCTGTGTCCCTTCAGTGTTCTTAGTTTATATATCTGTGTGGGACAAGAGTTGGAACAGGAGAGCCTTTATTGCTTTCAGTTCAACAACTTTACGTCTCAACAGCGCCCCCTGTTGGTCAGGACTGAATGGAACCAGTGGGTTGCATTTGCACTGATCTAAAATCAAAGCCTCCAAATTGAGATAATTGAGATCCATTTATTTTACTTATGTTTTGTTTTATTCTATCAAAAGACTAAATCTGAAATTTAATCCAAAAGTTTGTATACACTTGCTGAAGAAAATTTGGAATTAAAAGATTTATCAAAAGATTAGGAGCACACTAAGCCCCTTTTGTTTGGCTATGGAAAAAGTGACAAAGAAGAAATGGAAAAGTTTAACCCCGTGTTCAATTTTCCGTTGAACACGGGGTTAAACTTTCCACAGACTGTTTGTCACGTTGTCCCCCTCACACTGATCTCATTCAGGGGGGGTTATTGAGAATTTAATTTCAAACGCAGTCAACTTTAAATTGTTAAACCTAATTTGTACAAAAAAAAGTTTGTATTAGTACTGATAATATAAATGCCACACGTCTTTATCAGAGTATACGGATATCGTTTTTTTTATCTCATTAATTAATATGTTTTACATTTTGCTATGCCATACAATTATACTAATAAACTAAAATAAAATAAAATAGCGGGGGGCCTTTCTATGTAGAGTTTGCATGCTCTGTCCGGGTTTTCTCCGGGTACTCTGGTTTCCTAACACAGAGCAAAAACATGCATGTTAGACTGATTGGTAACTGTAAGTTGTCCCTAGAGTTTGTCTCATTTGTCTCCATGTGTCCATGTGATGGACTGTGGCCTGTCCAGAGTGTCCCCCGCCTCTCGCACAGGGACTGCTGGACATGGACACCAGCAACCCTGCAACCCAGAAAGAAAGAAGTGGGTAAAGATGATGGATAACATAAAATAAACTTTAAAAAAAATAAAAATAAAAAAAAAAACATTTCAATTTGTCCATGCTTGAGGAAGAGTTTCTTCCTGGTGTTGCAGTCTGTGTCCAGCAGGGGGCGACATGCTCATTTTGGCATCAATCCTAACTTTTTACTTACGGACTAATAAACGTAAAGCACCGTCACAAAAACAGTGACACTACTCGTGCTTCAGCCTAAACTGTTGCTTAAAGTGCCATTCGTGATTTAATTAGTGTTAAATTAAATAAAAAAATTAAAAAAAACATTGAACAAGTTAGTAGACGCTTTGCACCTGAGCAAATAACACACTCAACATACATACAGCAGATTGTACTTGTGGTTTTAGCTTTTAGTTTTAAATACCAGGGAACAACATCCCATTTCCGACTGTGACGCCTATCTAAAGAGCTTCTGTGGGACCAGCTGCCATCATTTGGTACCCGGGAGGAACATCCGGAAGCGCAGCAGCAGGACTCAGCCTCTCCAGAAGGGCGGACGCAAGCTCAGTCTGTCCGAGCTTTGAGTTGGATACTGCTTACATGAACAGGAGGAAGATTCAAACACCTTGAACGTGTTTCAGTCAACCTGAACTCTTTTTCACTCATCTTTTTTTTTTTTTTTTTTAATTCTCTTTAATATTTTGATCCACACTGAAGCTGTTCCACGTTCCTGACAAGAGTTCACCTGTGCAGGATGAGAAACTGATGGTGAGTGGAATCAAGTGTTTGGGCTGCTCTTATCCTAAAAGTTTACAAAGTTAAAACATATTATTTGTCTGTTAGACATAAAAATCTATCTATCCATCCATATCTATATCTGTGTTGGAGGATGTGTGAAAAAAAAAAAAAAGTGATTCATTTTTGTTGCACATTTAAACATAAAGTCCTAATAAGCTTTCAGTAGATTACAGAAGGTAATGGGCATGGCAGCAATTATGAGCCCACACTCTATCTGAGATTACTTCCTGCTTGCCTCACTGTCAACATTATTATTAGATTGCTGTCAATTAGATATTACTGTCCTGTTCCCATTAAATCTAGAATGAGCAAACGGTGTAGTCCAGCAGCTTGTTCATAAAAACGTGCACTGATTACAGAGAACTTTATGTGAACAAGCAGCCATCATCATCATCAGCAGCAGCAGCATCAGCAGCAGCAGCTGGTTTGCCAACGCCCTGAATGAGCAGGACAGAGTCTTGACTCTGTCCGTATGAGGCAGATGCATGAGTTGTGAGCACTTAAGTGTTTTGAGTGTCCCTTAGGAACCCACAGGCATTGAGCTGTTATCACGTTCTATGGAAATATGTTCACGGTAATACAACATTCTGAATTTTACACATGGATGAAAGGCATTCTATAAATTAATAACTCTACTTTAGGCATTTTTTTTTTTTTTTTTTACAATTGTGGCATCTCTTCTCATGTTTAAATGTGAAAACTACTGTAGTGTTGATCGACATTGCTCTCGTAACAACGATAAAACAGTTTGTACATAATATAAAGCGTTCATTTACCTTAAAGTGATCCTTTCACATATTCACCATCAGTTACTGGTGTTTATCCTCCCAGCCACAACCTCTCTTTATGCCATTTATTTATGTTTTTGTTTTTTTTACACAGTTCACTGATAAGAAATATGATTTTGGTTTTAGTTGGGAAAAGAAGTACTTCCTTAGAACAAAACACGGAGGTTTATGCTTCAACAACCTATTTTGTTAAGACATTTAGGATTTAAAAGACAATTCAGTGTTTTCAAAGTACAGTTTGAATGTGAGCAAATCCTCTGAAATAAAACTCCACACATCATGTTTCTTTTCAAACTTTTTGTTTATCGTTTTAAGTAAATGCCTCTTTATTGTGCAGGATCTACAACTTTTACAAGTCTTTCTAAATAGGCAGTTGATATTTCAGGAAATAGCTGGTTCCTCTTCTTTTCTTCAAAAACATAAAAGCTATTAGGCTAGAATTTGTCACAAGTTATTTCTCACCACACTGAGCACTCTGAGGTCAAAGGAAACAAGGTTTAAAATGAATGACGTGCATTAAATATTAAAATAAATCTTCCATTTGACCCTGTGGCCTGCGGGGCCAGTGTCAGTCATCACTTAGAAGCACATGGTCAAGCACGGTTAAATGTTTGGTGCATAACAGACGTCAAAGTGATTTTTGTTGGTGTTCTGTTCCAACATAAGTTGGCGAGGACAAATGTGTTTATGTCAGGTTGTTCAGCACAAGGTCAGGATGCAGACAGGTTACAGATAATTTGAAGTGGGCCTATTTGAGGCTTCAAAGTGGGAGTTCATATCTAAGGCTGAGTGTAATGAGTTGACAACAGATTGAGGGAATGATGCATGCCTCTAGATGTTGAAAAGGTTGACCTTATAGGGTGATTATCAAATCAGAGTTTGTGCTTGTGCAAACCTTTAACCTTTCCAGGGGTTATAACATTATACTGTATGTTCGGAGTCTCCAAAGACTGATAAATATTTTTGATAGACAGGTACAATTCTGTAAGTTTTTTCTCCAGTACAGATTTGAAAGAGCAACAGTTTTGGGATCCCCATCTCCTTCCTGAGTTCAGCAACTCTACAGAAAAAGCTCATTTCACACTGCTGTTTGTGACCTCACTGGTCACTACCCTTGGTTATAAGTGAGGGTTGAGGTTTAATATTGGACTAGTAATCTGACAGCTTTGCTTTGTGGCTTCCCTCTCTCTTCATCACAGTAGACTGATGCAGTGTCCACATCTGTGGGTGTTGAAGACCATGAAGGTCCAGGGGTCTGCAGCCTGTGGCTCTTGAGCCGCATGCAGCTCTTTGGTTCTTCTGCAGCGGCTTTTTCAAACTTTGACCAAAACGAACAAACCTATGCTCGTTTTAACAGTTTCATGTCATTTCTTTGGCTAATTTGTGAATACTACAGTAAGTGTTACATCATTTTCAGCATCTGCATTTGGTAGCAGTCCAAATTGACAAAGACCATGCAGAATAATGTAGCATTTTAATTCCACAGCAGAGAAAGCTATGTAGTCTCCATAAGTAGGTCTAGGAAAAAAAAAAATCTTGGTATTGGTATTGGTATTATCATCCAAACAAGTTTTAACATATTGGCATATCGGATATCAGCCAAAAATCCAATATCGTGCATCCCTAATTTTTAGTTTTATGTCACTCGTAATGACCTGAAAAGCCTCCTCCAAGGAACTGTAAGTGGTCCACAGGCCACCAGTTGATAATCACAGTTGGAGCAGGTTTTGTGGCTCCGGACATTTTAATTTAGTGAATGAAGGGGCAGAAATGGCTCTTTGGATCGTCAAGTTTGCAGACCCCTGTCCTAGACGAAACACCTTGCAGCGCTCCACAAGTTCAAAAGGGCTGTGTACTCTGAGGTGGTGCAATATACAGTAGAAGAAAAACAGTCAAAACCCATTCCTTTGTGTTTAGGGAAACCAGCTGCTCATTCTCAGAGGAAAACACCAACTTTTTGTTCACAAAATGAAAAACTTTCTCTGCTCTACAGGACAACTCAAAAGTAGAATAGGGTCTAGTACCTTGTCAGGATACTGGATACAGGACTAGGGGTTGAACGAGTATATAATTTTTAAACTTGACATTAACATAATAAAACCCGAGTAGAACTCGAGTATTTGATGATGTCATAGATCTCGAGATACAAAAATAAATAAATAAATAAATAAAACCGCAAAAAAAGGTAATTATTTACAAAAAAAAAGACCAACACAACATTGGGAGCGTATATTATGCTCCTACCATTTATCATACTGCAAACAAGTCACAGGAAAAAACTAAACTATTAGTTATTATTAAAATGCAAACGTGAAGAAACATGCAGCACGTCAAAAATGAAACGTAAACCGAAACTTTCTGGTTCGGTGGGTTGGACCCGGTGTTACACCATACTCTGTGACCTGCAACAGTTCAACTCCTCCCCCTACGGTCATACGGTGGTCACATAATATGACATCACCACGGATACTCAATGTTAAATTTTTAACCTCGATAGATGTCCTAGCAATCGATGTGTAGATTACTCGAGTACTCTGTTAATGCCCTATACAGGACCCATGCTGTGGGTCTAGGTTAGCCCAAAACACATCTCGCTGAAATCTCTCAACCTTCCACACATGTTTGGATTCCATCCCCACCAGTGATGTTCTATGTCCATAAAACATATTCCAACAAGAGCAAACCATCACAGCCTTCACCTCACTCTGCATTGGTTCATTGTGCCTTGCTTATAAGGGTCTACAACACTGTGATCCCAAGTAACTCATTCAGAACATGCCTTTACCCTAAAGCTGGCTCCGGGGCAAACTTGAGTATCTTATAGTTGTGTATGGGCTATTGATTGACATTTAGTTTGACCTCTTGCCAAGAACCAATTTGCCGTGAGAGACTCTTTCAGGGGCAAACTGCCTTTAAGCAGAGGTCCTTGAAAGACTCAAATCTGTCTACCACAATAAAGAAGCAACCTATATTCAGAAATTTTGTTTTATTATTTAACTTTCTTAACGTCTTCCAGGTTTTGAAAGAAACTTGTAATGATGGACCGTCTGAAGCTGAAGCTCCAGGGCATGTATATAAAAAAAAAAAAAAAAAAAACCACACAACAACAACAACAACAACAGTGTTTTTAAGCTTGATTCATTTGGCAAAAATCATGTGATCAATGATGTCTGAATCTTCGATAGTGCCAAAGTGATGTCACGGTTTGGTACGGGGCCGGGTCGTGGGTATAGCAGCCTAAGTAGGGAGGCCCAGACTTCTCTCTCCCCTGCAACTTGGGCCAGCTCCTCCAGGGGAATCCCAAGGTGTTCCCAGGCCAGCAGAGAAACATAGTCCCTCCAGCATGTCCTGGGTCTTCCTCTGGGTCTCCTCCCAGTGGGACGTGTCCGGAACACCTTACCAGGGAGTTGTCCAGGAGGCATCCTAACCAGATGCCTGAGCCACCTAAACAGGCTCCTCTCGACATGGAGAAGCAGCGGCTCTACTCTGAGTCCCACGCGGATGACTGAGCTTCTCACCCTTTCTCTAAGGGAGATCACAGACACCTTGCGGAGAAAAGTAATTTTGGCTGCTTGTATCCGCAATCTCATTATTTTGGTCACAATCCAAAGTTCATGACCATAGATGAGAGTACGTAGATCGACCGGTAAATTGAGAGCTTCGCCTTTTGACTCGGCTCTCTCTCTTCACCACTACAGACTGGTACAGCGCCCGCTTCACTGCAGATGCTGCACCTATCAGCCTATTGATCTCTCGCTCCATTTTCCCCTTCATTTGTGAACAAGACCCCAAGATACTTAAACTTCTCTACTTGGGGCAGTACCTCCTCCCTGACCCAGAGATGGCACTCTACCCTTTTCCGGTTCAAGACCATGGCCTCAAATTTGGAGGAACTGATCCTCATCCTGGCCGCATCACACTCAACTGCAAACCGCTCCAGCGAAAGCTGTCGATCACGACCTAATGAAGCCAATAGGATCACATCATCTGCAAAAAGCAAAGACGTGATCCTAAGTCCACCAAAACGGATCACCTCAACACCATGGCTGTTTCTAGAATTTCTGTCCATAAAATCTGTCCAGATTTAACTTCAATGTCCAGAGGACCAGATGTAACTTTTTTAGATCTGTCCATAAAAGTTATGAACAGAATCGGTGATAAAGGGCAACCTTGGTGGAGTCCAACTTTCACCGGGAACGAGCCCGACTTACTGCTGGCAATGCAGACCAAGCTTTGACACCGGTTATACAGGGATCTAGCAACCCGTATCAAAGGGCCTGGTACCCCATACTCCCGTAGCACTCCCAAAGGGTTCCCCGAGTGACATGGTCGGACGCCTTCTCCAAGTCCACAAAGCACATGTAGACTGGTTGGACAAACTCCCACTCAACCTCCAGACCCTGTTGATGGTGTAGAGTTGGTCCAGTGTTCCATGACCAGGACAAAAACTGCACTGCTCCTCCTGAATCCAAGGTTCGACTAGCCGACAGACCCTCCTCTCCAAAACCCCTGAATAGACCTTACCAGGGAGGCTTACGAGTGTGATCCCCCTTTAGTTGGAACACACTCCACCACCCTGGTCTGCCAATCCAGGGAAACTGCCCCCAATGTCCACACAATATTGCAAAGTTGTGCAAGCCAACACACGTCCCGAGTTGAGGTCAGCAGCGCATCACCTCCACTAAACAGTGTTGGTGATGTACCTCAAAAGTTTATGAGGACATAACATATCCTCTGGGTTCGTGGTGTGTTTTGGTGGCACAATGTGCGCAAAAAACCCCACAAACCAGCGATCGGCATGCAGCTAGACATGGAGCCATACAGCCAGCCCTTTGTGTTTTGTTTATTAGTTCATAAGCACTTTTACAACAAGAAAACAAAAACTTTAGAAAAACACTATATGTATATGTTATAATCTGACCTCACATTAAACAAACTGGTTCTTTACATAAAGTCATAGAGGTGGGAAACCTGCAGCACGTGTCATTTTAAACTGGTATTGTGTTGTGACTTAGATAAGATTTAAAAAATCTGTGATACAAATGCCATGAAGTCATGAAGGGGCATCATGCCATGCCACATTTTACCATGTTTATTCTTCAAATATTACATATATTCTTTCACCTACAAAAAAATTAAATAAAAGGTTCAAAGTACCAAAATGACAGCCTGATATTTGACAGAAATGTTGCAGAATAATATTGGGCCAAGAGGCCAGTGACCTTGCAGATGTTGGACACCGTCTATCATGGTGCGCTAAGATCCATAACTGGCTGTAACTACCGTACCGATCACTGCACCCTGGACTCACTGGTTAACTGGTCATCATTAAACTTCACGCAGACTTGCACACTGGTCCATTTTCATTCTTAAATCACTTCTCGGTCTGTTGCCTTCATACATCTCCTCCTATATGTCACTCCGTGAGTGCAGCTACAGCGTGCGCTCTAAGGACATAATTACTTGCAGCGTCCCCTCAGTGCGGACCGAACTTGGCAAAAGGGCAAACTCTTCCTCCACTCCCGTTTCCTGGAACACTTTGCATAAAGATCTGAAGCTCTCAACCTTGACCTCTCTAAGGGACTTTAAACAACTGCTAAGTTTATGACAAAAACCAATGCAGACATGTTCCTGTTTTTAGTATTTTATACTGCTTTATAATGTAGCTGATTTTGTTTCATTGTTGCTGTTTTTGTTTTGTTTTTATTTCTTCCATTTACTTTTTATTTTATGCTTTTTATATGACTGTCTATTGTGTGTGTACCTCATCTGTGTTCTTTGTTTAAAACAGGTCTCGTAAGTGAGACCTCATGGCTCAATTTGACTAACCTGTATAAATAAAGATTGAATGAATGAAACAACTTTCAGCTCAGTGAGTTGGACAGCCACAATGAAGCAAATCATTTCATGCTGTGGTTTCAAGCTGCCTTATTTATACTTTTGAGCATCAGATATCACAAAGAGGACTGTGTTAAAAAAAACGTTCAGATAATGAACCAGTTTTCAAAACAAGCTTCAGTGCTTCATAAAAGCTTCATTTGCTCATCACTAGCGTGTGTACCTTCCAAGCCTAATGAACCATAAATTTCAAGAAAGTTAATATTTTTCACACTTATAAACTAGAAGATAACATGGAGCAACATGACATGGTGTTAGTACAAACAATGTCAAACAGTGAATAAGGGCAGAGAGGACTAAATAGACCGGGGCTAACGAGGAGATGGGAGACAGCTGCACTTAATGAAACAAGAGACAGGTGAGAGTGGGCGTGGCAAGACTGAGGAGTAAGACCTGAACAAACAAAGAGTAGTGGGAGAATGAACTGGTGGCACAGGGAAACACCGAGAAACCCCAAAACACTATAAACCAACCAGCTAGAAAGGAATGACCCTTAAACACAAGGAATTATCAAAAAGTGTCCCCAAAACACAGATCCTGACAAATGGTTTATTTTTATTTTTTCATAGAGTTCCAGAAACAAATTCATTTGACTTTTTAAAGTTAATTAAAAAAAAAAGACTCTTTAAAATGGGCAGCATGGTAGTGAAGTTGGTAGAGCTGCTGCCTCTCAGCAAGCAAGTTGCCCTGGTTCAAATCCCAGTCCAGGGGCCTTTCTGGGTGAAGTTTACATGTTGTCTCCGTGCATGTGTTTGTTTTACTCCTGTTTCCTCCCACAGACCAAGATTGGTAACTCTAAACTGTCCCTAGGTGAGAGTGAGAGAGTGAATGGTTGTTTGTCTCTTATGTGTCCCTGTGATGGACTGGAGGCCTGTCCAGGGTGTCCCCGCTTCTCGCACAGTGATAGTTGGACATGGGCACTGGCGACCCCTGCGACCCAAAAAGGAAGAAGTGCGTAAAGATAATGAATGGATGGATGGACTCTTTAAAACAAAGTCTTAACTTTTGAAGATTATGATCACAATTTATATATATATATATATATATATATATAAAAAAGCTAGTGCACTACTAATCACATAAAATTAAGATCAGTACTAAATTAACAAAAGTATTATAAACAAGTGGACCAGATTTTTAATAGACTAATACAAAGATCTGCCTCTTGCACAGTGACTGCTGTATATGGGCACCAGTGACCCCCCACGACCTGAAAAGGAAGAAGTGGGTAAAGATAATAGAAGGATGGAAATTAAAATAAGCATGAGAAAAACTAATTTGTTATTTAACTATATACTTAACTATAAGTTCATAGGCAGCAACCATGGTACAATTATTGCTTCCTATTTTCAGTCTATTTTGACATAAAATGCCAATAATTTTTAAAAAACACTTCCTGCCACATTTAAATATCCGTTACGGGGTTTGTAACATCACAAATAGGATTTAGTATACACGTTTCTGTAAGAAAACTCACAGCAGTTTTCTCATAACCTCGTCTTCTTTCTACAAGTACACGCCGTAAGAGTCATCTAATCAGTGTGTTTGTGGCTGATTTTCTTTTTGGTGTGATGACCGTTCTGTAGCAGACTGATCAGACAGAAACTCTGAGTCTGAAATTTGCAGTCCATTCATATTTAATACTGCGCAGGTCTTCCCAACACTTCGGAGCAGTCCAGGCCTATTTGTAAGATGGATCTTTTCCTCCGTCTGCTCTGTGTCGGCGCCAGCGAGGGGGGGAAATGTCTCATTCCTTTTTGAGTGATGGTAGAAGGGTGCAAGAAACTCACCTGGAATTGATCATTGTCATGTCAATTTTTAATTTTATCTGCAGATGAGTAGATAATTAGGTCTAATTTTACCACAGCTAGAAGGAATTTATGTGCACAGACAGCCATTTCCAGGCAAAAAAAAAACACTTCCTCTCCTCCATTTTAAATCAGTTTAAGTTCTTTAAAGTTTGACAGAAACACAGATGTGTCAGTGTTAGAATCAAGACAAAATAATAAATCTTACCCTGTACTTATGTGTTTTGACCCATCAGGCTTTCTTCATGTTGGAGGCCAACTGTTCTTGCTGAGACTGCAGAATGAAAAGATGGCACAGTTCTTTACTCCACCAGGTCCAGATAGCTTCCGCACCTTCACTCAAGAGTCCCTCAAAGCTATCGAGAGCCGGATTGCTGAGGAGAAAGCCAAGAAACCCAAAGACAAAAAGAAGAAATCCAAGAACGAGAATGAGCCTAAACCTAGCCGAGACCTTGAGGCGGGCAAGCCGCTCCCTTTTCTCTATGACATTCCTCCAGGCCTGGTGTCGACTGCCCTGGAGGACCTGGATCCCTATTATAACAATCAGAAGGTAGCTTAATTTAATCTGTATTAAATGCTCAATCAAAAGATAAGATGTTAGACTTTCCTTTTTGTCTTCTCATGCTTGAAAGCTGCTTGGATTTGATGTGATCTTCCCTCCTTAACCACAACTGATTTGAAATAGTCACTACAATAATTGAACTGTTCATTTGGAGAAACTAGTATTTGAATGTCATGAACTGTGTTGTTTTCCAAATAATATTGTATGACTGCATTCTGTTTTTCTCCCAGACTTTTATAGTAATAAACAAGGGGAAATACATTTTTCGCTTCAACGCTGCTTCTGCCTTGTATGTCTTGAGCCCCTTCAATTGTATAAGAAGATTATCATTCAAGATTTTGGTACACTCATATCCTTTTAACCTGTTTATAATACTTGTAAACTGGGATTTGTTTTGTATGGTGATGATGTGCTAGTATAAGTCCAAGGTATCACTGAGATTTTGTGTGGGAGAAGGTGTTGGATGTACACTGACATTCAATGAAGGAGCAAAATGACCCATTCTTTCTTTATTAAAAATACTTAAAAAAAAAACTTTATACACTTATGCATATAGTCTTTCCAACATTTGCTTGAGGCATTTTCACTTCTTCTGCTGACCTATAGCAGTAAAATGCTTAGCTTCATATATATATATATATATATATATCGGCATTAATCGTCAGGCTCGACAGAAGCTGGTACATCTGAAAGTTTGGTACCAAAGAGGGGCAGCACGTCCATTGTTTGGAATTATTTTGGCTATAAAAAAGAAGACGCTGCGCAATGACATGTATTGTGCAGAACCTGCCTTGCTGCTGTTGCTACCTCTCAAGGTAACACCACAAATCTTTATCAACACTTATAAAAACACCACAAAACCATTTACGATAGTTGCATGGCTAGAAAGCCAAAGACCAGTGCTTAAACAAGCAAAATACTAACCAACAGGGATCACTGACCAAACTGTTCGAAGGTTTTACTCCGTATGAACATAATTCAAAACGGCACGTGGAAATAACTTGAGCAATAACAGAGTTCATAGTGAAAGACATGAGACCCATTAATATAGACCAGCCTGGGTTTACGGCTTTGGTAAACACAATGGATAAGCGGTACAGAATGTCCTCGCGCACACATTTTAGCCAAGTTGCTATGGAGCTATACAAAAAATGCAGAAACAGAGTTACAGTGGAGCCAAAAACAGTGGAGTTTTTTTTGCAACTGAATCAGATTTATTGCTTTTGTTAGTTGAAAAATACATGGGAAGAAGACGTTGAAAATTAATCGCATTTTAAATCGCAATCACAATAATGAGGTAAAAAAAAATCGCAATTAGAATATTTTCCTAAATCATTCAGCCCTAAAAAGACTTCTTCTTACAGCTTTGTTGACATTAGCTGCTTTAACATTTAGTGTGTTTGAGTGCGTATACTGTCATATCTTTTGACGGTTTGAAGAGTCTGCTAAAATCTGTCTCTCCTGGCTTTTCTTAGTGACAACTGGGAATAAAAACAACAAAGTCCATGCTCAATAATCCAGGTATACAATCCAACATTTTTTCAGTCAGGTCATCTGGACAGTTTCTTTTTTGTCCAGATGACCTGACTGAAAAATGTTGAACTGGGAATAAAACACAAACCTAGCAAGATAGTTAAAGTCTGAAGCATCAGCATTGCTGTTTGAGATCTAAAAATGCTGTGCCCTATCAGAACAAGATTAATAACGTTGTCTGATCTTTATTTATATTCCTTTACAACGTCTATTTATCAGGATAAAATTTTTAAGGTTTTGCATGGGACTGCACGATACATAAAAAGTAACATTTCACAAAATTATGATTGGTTTCCTTGACACCTGCCTTTAAATGGTTTAGCATGGTGATCATGCTCACCATCCTCGTCAACTGTGGATTCATGACTCTGTCTACACAGCCTGACTGGGCAAAGAATGTGGAGTAAGTTGTCTATTTACACACTTTATTAAAACTCCTGTATATTGTTGTGAATGTTATGCAGAGTGAAACAATTTTATTTTTTTCTCCCAGGTACGCATTTACCGCAATCTATACTTGTGAGTTCCTGGTTAAGGTGTTAGCCAGGGGGTTCTGTATAGGAAAGTTCACATTTCTAAGAGATCCCTGGAACTGGCTGGATTTCTGTGTCATTGTCTTGGCGTAAGTACAAAATTTGAACAAATTACAGTAATGCTGGTATAGTTTTATTCATCTTATTCTCTTAGGTTCCTAAGTTTAAATATTGATTGTATTTTTTGTACTTGTGTGCAGTTGACATTATATTTTATTATTGTTGGTAAGGAAAGATTTAAAAGGCAGTAGTGAAACCAGCCATTGATGTATTGTTTGGAGAAAGTGGCACTGACAAAAAAAAGAGACAGAACTGGAAGTGTCAGAGCTGAAGAAGTTGATTGAGGTTCTCCCTGGGAGTGACTAGGAAGAATAATCTGAGGTACAACACAGGTTGAACAACTAGGAGATAAAGTTAGAGTCCAGACTGAGATGGTTTGGACATGTCCAGAGGAGGGACAGTGGGTATATTGGGAGAAGGATGTTAGAAATGCAGCTGCCAGGGAAAAGACAAAGAGGAGATGTATGGATGCTGTTAGAGAGAACATGGAGGTCGTTGGAGTGAGGACAGAGGATGCAGAGGACAGAACAAAATGAAAGAGGTTAACTCACTGAGTGACTTCTGAAGAAGAAAAAGATGAAAGAAGAAGACGATTGGTGGTAACAGAAGTTTGATAAAAGTGAAACTTGTTAAACTGAAAGTTGTCTGAAAACTTTGTTCTTGGAATTATTAAATTTTCTACAAATTAGTACAAGGAACGTTACTCAGCACTTTTTTTCGATTTGCTGATTTTTTGTGACTGTGACTCGCATTCTCCAGTGGTGCGCACTGTTGTGTTTAATAACTTGTGAATAAAAACGCACATCTACTAAACAAGATGATAACCGCAAATCTAATTTGTGTTAGTGTGAATGCTAGTTTTAATGGTCTGATCTCTTAAATAGTGAAACCTCACTGATCCTATCTTACTGGGACTGCCTGTAACGACTGCGGCTATACTTAGATACAGGGATAGAAGATAACAGATAACAAAACTCAAATACGTTTAGAGTGTTCATTTACAAAGGTGGAAAAATCATCAATTGTGCCAGGGAGGGAGCTGGAACCCTGAAGAGCAAGGAGATGGTTACTGGTCTACTGGCAGAGGATGATAATGTTGTTGCTGCTCTTTCTTACAGTAGAGGTAGGAGTCATTTGTGGGGAGAGCTGACCCAGTGGTTCCAGGGCGAAGAAGGTGCACATCAGAACTAAGTTTCCAGGCAGGAGGCAGGCAAGTGGTAGGAAGGCGTGGAGGCAGCTGAGGAGGCACAGAAGAGCTTGAGGTCCACAGAGAAGAATCCAGGGGACAGGAGGACATATAATACTCAGAAGGCATGAAGAAATATACACTGTGTTACTATTTAGTTTAACTCACGAGTAAAAGGCTAGAACAGAACTACTGTTGGCAGGTAATGCTCCAGTGCCCGCTGAATGTCCTCTGCAGCCTTTTGCTCCTCAGGTGCTGCTGATTGGTGCTCAGACGTTGCTGCAGGGAGCTGGCACACTCCTCCCACACTGCCTACCTCTTACCTTTTGATCCCACGAAGTGTATAACTCACATGTTTGCTGTTTATCTTCTTAATGATACTACAATGTAGCCTTGAAATCTGTCTGTTCACGATAAGATACTCTGTTTTCTGCAGGTATCTCACTGAGGTTTCCGATAAAATTGGCAATTTGTCCGCTCTTCGAACATTCCGAGTGCTAAGAGCTTTCAAAGCTATTTCAGTCATCCCAGGTAAGCCGTACGTGCCAATGCATGGTGGTCACCCCTCAATCTCTCCACTGCATTTCCTGCCCTTCTCCAACACTGACCTAATCTGTCCTCCCCAGTGTTACACACATCAAATGTTTTCAGCAAACTTAACTTCAACAGTCGTTAATCCAATTATAGCCATATACCTGGTTTAGCATTTCAAAGCCTGAATTGTTCTCCTTGTTGTTGTCCTTTTTAATAATCAAATGGTGAATTTTGGATTGTGTTTGCCTTGCTTGGTGAGATCTGAACACAATTGCTTAAGAGGTAAAAGTAAATGGAAACCATAAATTCAAATTAAGACATTGGAAGAAAAGATGATTAACAGCAGAGTCTATGAAAAATTCTGAGAAACTTACTAAGGATGACAATTGATATGTTCTGTTTTACAGGCCTGAAGACAATTGTTGGTGCGTTGTTTCAGTCAGTGAAGAAGCTTGCTGATGTCATGATCCTGACTGTTTTCTGCCTGAGCGTATTTGCACTAGTAGGATTACAGCTGTTCATGGGTGTTTTAAGGAGCAAGTGTATTCGGGTGCCAGATGAGGGGGATATGATGTTTAAGCTCACCTTTTGTAATGGTAGCGACAATGTTTACATAGGTAACAAAAGTGAGTATGATACAGCTTCTACAATTGACTTTTGTTCTTTTCCTTTGTTCCTCTTTTTGCATGTCTTCACTTCATTTTTACATCCCAGACTGCTTAATTTCAAAATAATTAATGAATCACAACATTTAGTTAACTGTTAATTAAGTGCAAACGTATTGGTACACACACAAATGTTATGACCATGTACATCTGCCCCTATAAAAACAATTTCTATTTATCATGGAATTATTATACAAAGTAGAAACTATGTGCTAATTATTTTTACACACACTGTCATAAGAGCTATGAACTATGACACACACACTAAATTTACTTAGTTAGCAACACATTTTGCACTTTATTGTTAGTGATTTTTTTTTTAAACTTAGTGTGCTGAATATGCCATAGGTCCTGAAAGTGAACGATCTGGAATTGTCTAAATATGGACATGAGTGAATTGAAAGATATTAACAGTTTATCTGACACCTGTCTGACAATCAATACAAAGCAAACTTTATAAGTCTTGTAGAGAAATGATTAGACTTTATAAGTGGACCCACTAAAATCTTCATAATTCACCATCAGTTTTGTGCTTGACTACCACAGCTATTGTCACAAATTATAAAGCAGTTTTTCTTTTTTTACACCTTCAGGTAATCATTACTTCCTTCCAGGAAATCGAGATGCAATGCTTTGTGGAAACAGCACTGCAGCTGGGTAAAAAAGTTAACTCATAGCTAGTAAAATAATGCCTTTTAATGTAAAAAAAACATATATACATTATTAGTATTACAACAGAATATAGAGGTTCAAATAATTCCTCCTGAGCTTATAGACTCTCTGTTTCCTACAGGCAGTGTCCAGAGGGGTATAAATGCTGTAAAGCCGGAACAAACCCAAACTTTGGTTACACAAGTTTCGACAACTTCGCTTGGGCCTTCCTTTCTCTTTTTAGACTGATGACACAAGATTACTGGGAATTCCTTTATCAGCAGGTAAGCAGTACAGAAAGGCATTTTATGGCTTTTGTCTGATATTTTTTTGTCTGTTTTTAAGGTTTATTTGAGATGTGTGTTGGTATATTAATGGAACATTTTATTAAGTTTCTCATTTTTATGTTTTAAACTGACTGAGGTCTGAATTTATTGGCCTATGACATCTTGAGTAAATAAGTGATGAAAATGTGACATTGCTAGACTCCAGACGGCTGAAAACCTAAGAAACATTTCAGTAACAATTATTTCAATCGTTTTCTGTTGTTTTGTTTTTTTTATGTTCAAAAGGTTTGCTCAAGAAATGAAACTGTTAACTGAGGTTTCTCTGCATTGCTTTTACTTTCTCCTGGATATTTTTTGTTAGTGACTGATGGAAGTAATAATTTAAAGGTACACGCTGTAAAGTCATGAAAAACAGAGAAAAAATAAATAAATCCATAATCTTAAAAAAGTAAAATTTTTATATTTGCTGTTAATGTGTCCTAAAATAAAAAATAAAAAAACTGTAAGCAAAATTTTATGATCAGCTCTAAATTATCATGTTTGTTCACCTAGGAAAAGAGCCAACGTGACTGATATTTATATAATTTAATCTTCTATTTAACTATCTTTTTTTGTCTACCTACACAGACTTACCATCTGTATGTATGTCTCAAGCATTCAGATGATTTTTGGGACATTCATCTATGTGTTTTGGTAACAATGAGTGCAGATCTGCATATCTGAATTGCATTCAGTATAACTCTTTTAAACTGCATCATTTGGATAATCTGGTTGTGTTTGATTTCATACTTTGCAATGACTAAATGAGCATTAGTGAAATGTTTAGCTGCTTGTGTGGTTCAGGAGGTTATGTTTTGGATAACTACTTGCAAAATGAATTGAACTGGTTTGCTTTTGTATTATTACTAAAGAAAATCTACAAAGCTTCTTGTTTAAACAACTAAAGGCAGTGCAGGTGCATACTGGTTAGAGGTAAAAATGAATAGTCCCAATGTGGCTTGGACAAATATACTCTTAATTATGTGGGTAAAAAAAGTGGTGACCGATGAAAAGGCTTTGCATCATGGCAACAAGTAAAACAAACAATAACTAATGAAAGAAATCTTATCTAAGGGTACAGTACCTGCGGTTATCAACAAGCTTAATGTATTGAACAGATTGTTTGAACATAGAACAATAAAATCTAATTTAATCATCATGTTGAAAGAATAACAAATCTGAGTTAATGTTAAATGCAGTAAATATTTAAACCCTTATTCTCTGTGTTCCCAGTAGTTAATACTTTCTTGCCAATTATTTCTGTAAATGAAGTAATACTACGACTTGAAGATGGTGCAAACCACTTAGATGATTTCAAAATGGTCCAACTGTGTTAAAGCAACAAATTTTACAGTGTATATCTTCATAAATATAAGAATTTAAGAAAAGTAATCTGAAGTTGGAAAAGCAAAACCATTCATACATATGTGTTAACATTATGTTTAAAGCTCATTTATTAACTAAAATTGTACAACAACTTTTGTTTATTCTCTTATTCCCAGACTTTGCGAGCTGCTGGGAAACCCTACATGGTGTTTTTTGTCTTGGTCATATTCCTCGGTTCCTTCTACTTGATCAACCTGATTTTGGCTGTAGTAGCAATGGCCTACGAGGAGCAGAGCCAGGCCAATATAAGGAAAGCTCAGGAAAAGGAAGAGGAGTATCAGGCAATGCTTGAGCAGCTCAAACAGCAGCAAGAGGACGCTGAGGTATAATGTCAAACATCTTTTTAGATTTTGTCATTGAAATATTTTTAAAAAGTTTTTAAAAACATAAGAATGTATTCTTCACCTACATATACATAAATAAAAAAATTAAAAAAAATTATATATAAAGATATAGTTACCCTCCAGGAGATATTTATCAGTACAACAGTAGACAATCATAAAAAACATATGATTTGAAAATTATATATATTAAAAACATAAGCAGCTACATTATAAAGTGATGTAAAATACTAAAATCAGGAACATGTCTGTTGGTTTATGCCATGAACTTAGCAGATGTTTGAAGCCATTTAACATTTAATTTACTTCATTTATTCATTCATTTAAAAGAAACAAAATTAAAAAAAAAATCATCAAAAAGAAAACATTGAATGAAAAGAGTGCAGAAAGATGAAAAAAATTCTTACATCTGCCCCTTATAAAATATAAAACAACTTTAAACAATCACTTAAATTAATCACTTTAATATCCACTTTAAAGCTAGGAATAAAAAGAAACATGTTTTGTGTTAGCAGAATTTAATTCTAACTTTAAAACTTATCCAACATTAATAAAACTTACCTCAAGTTGCCTTTTTGGACAT